ACTAACACAGTGCGAGTGGCAACAATTGCTAAAGGTGTCTCCACCGGCTGATTTGTAAAACTCTCCTCAGGCAGATCGCGCGATGGAGTGATAGTTGGTCCTCGATACGGCTTCAAATTTGAAATGTGGAATACCGGATGAATGCGACTACCTTCCGGTAACTGAAGTCGATATGCAACCTGACCAATACGATCAATGATAGAAAAAGGACCGTAATATTTCTTGGATAATTTGTGTTGGCGGCGACGGCGGACAGAATTTTGGCGGTATGGCTGTAAGCGGACAAGAACCAAATCGCCGACAGGAAGTTGGAGGTCGCGGCGGTGGTTATTAGCTTGTTGGATCATACGGTGTTGTGCTTCCAATAAATTGGTCTTGAGCAGACGGAGAAGCTCATTGCGATCCATTAAAGCGTCATCAACCGCGGGAAGTGTAGATGAACCTCGAGTGTATAGAGGGATAGAAGGAGGTTTACGCCCATACAGTGCCTGGAACGGGGACATTTTTAGTCCACTGTGGTGACTGGTATTGTAATGAAACTCCGCCCATGGCAAGAAACTCACCCAAGTATTTGGTTTCTATTGTGTGAAGGCGCGAAGATATTGCTCCAGTGTGCGATTAATCACCTCAGACTGCCCATCAGTTTGTGGGTGGTAGGCACTACTCATGGACAATTTGGTGCCACTCATTTCAAATAAGTTCTTCCAAAATGAGCTGAAAAAGACAGGGTCACGATCTGAGATGATGGAGCGGGGGAAGCCATGATGCTTGACAAAAATGGGAATAAACAAATCGGCAACTCGAGATGCTGTAAAGGCAGTAGGAAGAGCACCAAAATGGGCGGATTTTGACAATCGATCCACAACAACTAAGATAACGGTGGAACCTTGAGAGACGGGGAGGCCGGTGATGAAGTCCATGGTGACATCCTCCCAAACTGATTTTGGAATCGGGAGCGGTTGCAACGGACCCGTTGGAACTTGTGTGGAGTATTTGATTTGCTGGAAAGTGAGACAAGAGGCCACAAATGCTTCGACTGCTTGGCGCATCTTAGGCCAAAAGAAATTTGCAGCAACACGAACCAAGGTGCGTTTAACACCGGCGTGACCGCCACTTGGTGTGTCATGAAATTCCGTCAGAACTTGATTACATAATGCCGAGGTGGGGCTTAGAACATATCTTCCCTTGTGAAGGATAACCCCATTTACCACAGAATATGGATGAGGAAGGAGTCCCTGTTTGTGTTTCTCATGCAATTCCAAGAAAAAAACCTCAGTTTGATTCGCAAGTTGCAGTTGCTGTAAAATTGAGAATGTAGGAGTAGACACCAATGCACAAAACATGGTTAGAGTAGGGGTAGGTTCCAAATCCCACTCTGCGGGAACGCGGGACAAAGCATCAGCGACCCTATTTGACACACCCGGTTTATATTCAATGCGGAAATGAAAGCCCAATAACTTGCGAACATATGCTTGTTGATCTGGCGTCTGAATGACTTGTTGTAGGAGTTCCCGAATACTTTTGTGATCTGTCCGAATTACAAAAAAATGGCCCAATAAGTATTGTCTCCATTTCAACACAGACTCCGTAATCGCATGAAGTTATTTGATGTATATTGATGCAGCCTGCATCTTGGGTCCCAATTTTTTGCTAAAAAAAGCAATCGGGTGGCCCTCTTGCATAAGTACTGCACCAATTCCACACTGTGAAGCATCATTCTCGATAATAAACTCTTTGTCGAAGTCTGGAAGTTTCAAAACCGGTGCTGCCATCATAGCTTGCTTCAATGTAGTGAATGTTGAAGCTGCCTCAGAGGACCAAACAAAGGCATCGTGACGAAGAAGGTCAGTAAGCGGTGCTGCAATGCTAGCGTAATTGGCAATAAAGCGGCGATAATACCCTGTGAGGGCTAAAAAACCACGAAGTTGTTTGATGCAGGAAGGAATAGGGCACTTGACCATAGCCTCTAACTTGGCAGGGTCAGCATGTACTCCCTGAGATGACACAATGTGACCTAAATAGTCTATTGATTCTTGACAAAACAAGCACTTGGAGAGCTTGACATAAAATGAGTTAGTGAATAAACAATTCAAAACTAGCTCCAGATGCTGCAAGTGATCAGCAAGAGAACTGCTATACACCAAAATATCGTCAAAGAAAACAATGACAAACCGTCGCAAAAACTGCGAAAACAACCGATTCATCGTTGCTTGGAATGTTGAGGGTGCATTGGTGAGACCGAACGGCATGATGAGGAACTCAAAATGCCCCTCATGTGTGCGAAAAGCAGTCTTGTATGTATCGCGCGGGTGCACCTGTATTTGATGGTATCCCGCACGAAGGTCCAACTTACTGAAAATGGTAGCACCCCTAAGCTCGTCCAACAATTCATCAATGGTAGGGATGGGGAATTTGTCCTTAACGGTAGCAGCGTTCAAGGCGCGATAATCAACGCAAAATCGCCATGATCCATCTTTTTTGCAAACCAACAAAACCGGGGAAGAGAAAGGGCTGTGACTCGGGATAATTATGCCTTGATCAAGCATCTCCCGAATTAATTTCTCCATTTCTGATTTTTGAAATTGCGAATAACGGTATGGCCTCACATTGATTGGGTTGGTGCCCTCAACCAAATGAATGCGATGGTCAATAGAACGGTGAGGTGGTAAACCAGTCGGAGCAACAAAAAGATGCCGAAATGTTGCAGTATGGTTAACACAGGGTCAGGGAGGAATTGGGGAAATTGTGGTGGGTCTATTTGAGTATTAGTTGAAGTTTCAGGGCATGGTGTAATGGTGAAGATACCTGCAACTATGTCGCTATGAACCAGGGACTGGAATTGGAGTAAAGACACCGAGTGAGAGTGTACTGAGGAGTCACCGCGAAGAGTGACTGGTTGACCTTCCCATAGAAATTCCATTGTCAAAGCAGAGTAGTCATGAGCAACTTTCCCCAATAATTGAAGCCATGGAAAGCCTAACACCACGTCAGGGCCTTCAATTGCAAGCACAAAAAGATCAACTGGAAACGTAATACCTTGCAGGAGTAAAGGTACATTAGAGCAACAATATTGACATAATAAAGAGGAGCCACAACCCGTAGCCACCCGGAAACGCGGGCAAGGAGTCATTGGAAGGCCTAACCGTTCCACCAACGCCGGATTAATAAAATTATGTGTGCTGCCGCTGTCGATTAGAGTGTGAAATTGGTGGTTACCGTACGCACCTGAAACGCGTAGAGAACGGCCTTGGAGCTGACTAAAGAGGGTGTTAAGGCTTGATATGTCCCCGGACACATCCTCATGAGAAGCTTCCTCAATATCAATATCATGTCCGTCATCATAAACACCAAGTAGCAAGAGAACTTTGCTACGACAACGATGAGATGGATTCCATTTTTCGTCACACTTGAAACAAAGGCCTTTAGAACGGAGATCACGAATCTCTGTCGGTGGAAGGTGACAGACGGGTAAGGTGGATTGAGGGGTGGGAAGCAGAGGAGGTAATGAAGTTGGTTTTGTATGTGGAAGTGTGGTTTGGGATTGTGGGATTTGCGTGGAAGGTTGTTGGATTGGGGTGGTTGTGATAGGTGGGTTAGTGGAATTACGGGTCCAATTTTTGGAGTACGGAGGATTGTCATCCAAACGCGCCTGATACGCACGAGCCATAGCAAAGGCTTCCATCAACGTTGGGGGACGGTGAAATTGCAGCTCACGACGTAGAGTTCGTTTCAAGCCGGTAATGAAAAAACTAATTAAAGTGGTTCTGAGATACCGTTAACCTTGTTCATGAGATCCTCAAATTGAGCTTGAAAATCAGCAACTGAACCCGTTTGTGATAGTTTGGAAAGCTCACCTTCAACGTCTTCATACGCCGTCGGACCGAAGTGGTGGCGAACGGATGTGAGAAACGCTTGCCACGAGGTAAACAAGTTGTTGCGCGTAGCCCACTGAAACCAAGCAGCTGCACGACCTTCCAAATGAAATGAAACGATTTGGAGACGCAAAGCTTCCGGTGTGTCGTGGAAATTGAAAAACGCTTCAATCTGAAAAAGCCAATCGGAAGCATTCGAACCATCAAATCTGGGAACAGATAACTTGAGCGAACGTGAGATAGAGCTAGTAACGGATGACGGCGATGCAGTACGGAGATGCGCAACCTTAGAATCTACTTCCAGAAGGTGTTGATGAAGTGTGTTGTGAATGAAATCTGAGTGTGCGTCAAGGGAGGATTGGAGAAGAGCACTAAGGGATGAGGATTGGGCATCGAGTTTGGATTGAAGGGCGTTCATAATGGCGTCGTGGGACACTGTTCAATGAAAGCACCAATGATACACCTACTACACTTAGGTGATCGAAATCGGCACTCTTCGAGCGAGTGTTAGCTCCACAAGAGAAGAAGAAAGAAACTAATGAAGGGGAGAAATCTTCTTAACATTCATCATAACCAAATGGTTCTCAAGTACAGCTATAAAAAGGGGAGTGGGTGTTAACAAACTCTAACAACCCAGCACGATTTCAGGAAAAGACAAAAGCATAACAGAAATGAAATTAAAAGGAATAACACTATTCTAGATCCTTCAGTCGCACACGTAATCCTCCATCTATGATGGCTATTTGCGCTGTCTCTTTCCCAATTTCTGGACTTCCTCATCATCTGACTCATCTTCATTGGGCCTTGGGACACTGTTTTGGGTTGGGCTTATGGGGGGTGTATCAGATACCTATTGGTATACACCATAGTACCTGTGACCAACTTAGATTCTGTATGCAGAAATTACAGATTTCAACACAACCCTCACAGGAGAAGAGAATGAAAAACTATACTAACTATTTCATTTAAATAAAGCAAGTTGATGCTCCTCGTGAGACTAAAATGTGAAAATATCAGTAGCATACTCCTACAACAACAGAATGGACAGTTAGATAAATCACTGAATCATATATATATTGTCCCTAAATTGAGGAATGATGTTCAAGACATTACACTTTATCAATTCAATCACAATGAATACTTAAGTTGATAATTACGAAGCCAATCTTCACCTTTTTCATAATAATCCATTCTAGTGAATGTTTGTGTGTGGAAACCTGGGGTTGATGCATAAGCAGATGCACCACGCCATGCATCCATAACCGGATCAAGTGCTCTAATTATTTTTATAGGTGAACCACAGGGTCTGATCATCCGAATTCCAGCTTCGAGACGTTCAACTATGCCAGGGAAAAGAGAACTTCCACCGGTCACAAGTATGGAATTAGTCATTCTCTCTTCAAGCCTTTCGTCCTTACATGATAACCTTCTCATTGAGACCCCAGCCATCTCATCTAATCCGACTTGATCAACCCCAATCCAGTTTGGACTGAACAAAATTTCAGGGCATCTGAACCTTTCGATCCCGAAAACAATCTGAAAATCTTCTTTTGTGAGTGGACGGACACGTGGCACCTCGGCAGGTTGGGAGCTTCCTGTTTCTACCTTGGGCACAAATGTTGGATCCAACTCCTGCCAAACCAAACATATCGGCATGATTTTTGTGAGTCATTGAAAGTCTTTTGATACAAGGAATCTACAATTACCATGCGAAAACAGATGCGACAACACAATATAACTTTAGGTTAGGGTTCACATTATAAAAGACAAGACCTAACCTGGAGCCTCGAAGTGATGCGGGCTAGCTCTATGCTATCCTCATCTGGTTCCTCATCGTCGTCGTCATTATCTTTACTCATCAACTTGTAAAGTTGCCAATCTTCGTCTTTGGCACCAAATGTATCCTCGCCTTTTCCACGATCAAAGGCAGCAGTAGTCAGCAGGCGCATTCTCTCCCTTTGAGCAGCATTGAGTCTCTCACCACGGCCAACGCTACCCGCCAAACCATTTCCATTTGTGGAGGAACCTCCATTTGTCTTGAGCCGTTTACGTTGGTTAAGTTTCTCTGAAAGGTCGTTGTAACTGGCACGCAATTGTTCCACGTAAAGCTCTGGGTTCGCCCTACATTAAAAAGGTCCGAAAAGCCAATCAGAAACGTTTTAAAGCATAAGAAAGCACTACTATTTAGAAGTCTTCAAGCTTCAAGATTAAAGTTGTGATGTCCTAATCATTAAGGTAGAGACTTTTCTCTAATTTGTTAAGGGGCGTAGTAATCTTAAACTAGACAGGTGATTGATCTCTGTCTCCCATTTAGATTTTCCTGTTTTACTAAACTGAATATCATCTCTTGCTCACATAGATATGCAGCAGAGTAATTTTAATCAAGCTTGAATAAATTGAAGCATGGAACGTACAGGCGTCTCTCCTCCTCTAGCTGTTGTTTCCTTCCTCTTTCCTGCTCCTCTTCCTGGCGCTTCTGTTTTAATCGCTGCCTCCCATCAGACATAGATTTGATTGACAACTGTTTCCTCTTTTCAAAAAGCTATCAAAAGAGTAAAACCCAATGAATATTGTCAATCTTGCAAGGCACTGTTAAAAATATTCAAAGTATTTTGGATATTAAGATTGTGAACAAATGTGGCTCCAAGCAAAAAAATTACAAGCATGTTTAAAGGGTGTGAAGACAGGGAGTTCAATTGAAAAGAAAAAACAGACCTGCTCTGCGGTCAGCATGTCATCAGGGACGTTTATAAGAGTATACTTCTCATTAGGGTCAGTTTTTTCAATTTCAGCTTGTTCGCTCTTTTCTTCACCTTTTGCTTTCCGTAAGGATTGCACATTTTTATTACGGGCAGATTCTACTTCCTGCCTAGAGACATAGCCAGTCTCTGCTAAGAATGATGGTACATCACTCTCTTGAACATGTCCAAGTTGATTCAAAAGAAATTCCAAACCACGTAATTCGTTTTCCAGCTCATTTATTTTTGATGACCTCTTTGCCTCAGCCATTTCCCGCAACCTTTGACCTTGTTTCTCTCTTATTGCTGCCTTTCTTGCAATCTCTTCCTCAGAAGGAGGCTCCTCTACTGGTGGTGGCACCCAAGGGAGCTGCCACATTTTGGTTTTTTCTTCAGCCTCTTTTGCTCCTTTCTGTCAATCCATCATATGACGGACAAGTTTTAGAAACAGCAGGGGAACGAGGAAAAAAGAAGAAGAACATATTTCTTACCTGAAACAATCGAGCTTCAGAAACATAATCCTGTGCAACATAACAATGTTCCATCTTCAGGTCTTCAACCTTTTCCCATGTAAATCTAGCTCTGTATTGAGAATTTAATAAGACATAAGACACAATATGTATTCCGGAGTTTGCTTGGTAATAGCAGAAGCAGGATGGTTTCATACTCACAAATGATAAGGATATTTAAGTGAAAGAAGTTGCTTTAAATAATCAGTCACATGGAATCCACCAATATTAGTACGACAACTCCCTTTATAAATTGGCTCCCCGCCAACAAACTGAGAATATAAAAATAGAGATTATTAGAAATTATAAACAATTATAAACACTTTATACACTTGGTAGGACAATTAAATCCTACCAACCACTCTGCAAAACAGCAGAATTCTCATATAAACACTTTTCAGCCTACTTATTTAAAAAAAACTTTTTTTTTAATGTTTAACAGTTTCTTATCCTTATTTAGTTTCCCAGTTTCTTTAACAATGTTTGTCTCTTAGGGCTTTTTATCTCGGACCTTGAAATTAGAGCCCTGATTTTGTAAGGATTTTTTTAGCCTAGCCCTAAAAAGTCTAGTTCCCATTAGGGCTAGACCATATGGCCCGCAGATATATGAGCCCGCATAGCTACAAATTTTAAAAATTATACTAATACTTATGTTGTTTCATTTAAAACAACACATTGAGTTGCCTCTCTACACTAAATTTTATCTATGATATTACATTCAATATTTGTGTGTTAAATATTATACATTAATATAAACAAAACTATTTCATGTTTCACGTCACAACTTTCTCGTATCCTATTAGTTTGTGTTATGTTACATATTTGTGAATTATTTTCAACAATTTCAAACTTATATAGTATTTAAAAACATGTTATAGTTTTTTTTTCAAATAATATAATACTTAAAAACGTATTATATTTAAAGTAATACACTTTAGATATTGTATTTATAATAATAATTATTGTATTTTATTTTATCTTTTTATTTAAAAAAGGCCCATTTAGGGCCAAGTAACCTGCAACCCGTATAAGACCAGGTTCAAGGAATATTTTTTTAGCCCATATATAAAGTAAGGTTTCTTTGGCATATTAATCTTCAATAAGATGTGTAAAACTTATTTTCTTCACATATTTAATCCTTAACTAAAGTAAATAGCATAAAAAGCATACCGGAATCACATGGGTTGTAGCGAATCCAGGACACATAGCAAGACCATCTTTATCACAAACACTTCTTTGTTGGTTATATTTATAGCTGAATGATGCATCAACACCAAAAGCTTCCATGACAGAAAAGCACGGATAGCTTAGTTCATATAATAACATGTACAATGCTAACTAAATAGATATGAACATGCATATGCAATGTGTTCAAGTCAGTAATAACTATGTGAAGATGTCAAACATGGTCTCCTAGAGCTTTGCATAGGTTTTCTTTTTCTTTTTCCTTTAATAGACCCGGTGGTGAAGATTGGGGTAAGGCAACAGGCAATGCAACACTTCTGTTTCAAAAAGAGTAAGGCTTTTGCTATTGTAGGGCTAAAAAAGTAATAGTACCTATAGATGGAACTCCATAAGTCTCAAAAAGAAGTTCTGCCATTTTACTTCGAGACTGAACTGGATTGCACACACATTCTGTGATCAGGATAGGATGATCAATCTGCTCTGGCATTAAATGTAGAAATATAAAAGAGTAAGTCAAAATAACTTAAATGCTAGAAGTGAAAAAAAGAAAAACATGTATTTACAAAATCAAGGAACTCCAAGTCCAAGGCAACAAAACCACATGGATCGCTATAAGTCTACCAGCACATCAAAGTTTAGTAGCATTGGAGCTTAATATCACTAACATGTCTTAGTAGCAAAGATAACAGACAAAATGCTCTATGAAGATTTTACACATGTTCATACCTCTGATCCTGTTGCACCCATCCGATCAAAAGCAAAGTCCAGAATCTAAAGATAAAACAACAAATTAGTAATGTGTTCCTTGATATATTTTCAAATTTAATGAAGTATACACTTTAAGCTTCTTACTTGAATGACCACCTTCCCATAATATGTAATATGGTACCCTTCCCTAACTTGTTATGAACTTATGAGCCTACGGTTACAGATTCCATCTGTCACCTTTATAATGGGTCCTACCAAACCTTACGGATTCCATCATACCAAACCTATTTCTCTAGTTAGATATTAATTCATATTGCTTCTGACACTCATTTTGGTTAAACGAGCACAGGAATCTCATTAGCTCAAACTTATTTTATAGCAATAAAACAGGAACACCGCCATCTTTTTTCACACAAATCCAACTTCCAATTCTGACATGACGCAGTCATCAAAACCGACTACTACATGAATCAAAAGTTCAACCTCACAAGCACACAACACACGATGCAAAATCAAAACAAATCAGACTAGCGTATGAACATTGAGGAATTTTATCATAAATAAATCACAAAAGTATCAAAAAGAAAAACTCAAACCATTTCCTACTGAGCTCACATAGTTGTATCAGGAAAACTTACATATTCCATTATTTCAAACTGGAAAACAACATCACTGTCAAATGCTGAGCGTGGTCCAGAGCGAGTACAGTCAAAGTATTTCAATAATGCCGGATCATGGTCACCAACAATGGTGACAGTTTCTCCTGTGTTACAAAATGTTCAAAATTAACCATTAAATATTCAATATATACGCAAGCAGTTGCCATTATGTTTGCTGAAATATAACCTAATATAAACCAATGCAAACAAGAACTATCATAAAAGCAACATTCTTTAACTACACAGTTACAGGTAAGGCAATTTAGGCAAACACAAACACCGAGCAACATAAATAACAGTAATTCAGATGAAGAAGAACCAAAAGCATGGAACATGTGATACCTGTGGCTTTATGGCGTGGCCTTTGAACAATGTTGCGGAAAACAACACGGGGTTCAGCCTCACCTGCCCATCTAAACATTCACCAAAAGCAACGAACTATAAAGTTAAAATCACAACCCCGTCATGAAATTTTATGAAAAAAAACAGAACAATTAGGGTTTCATCTTTTTGAAGTGAAATTAGGGTTGGAGAGAGTACCCGATACGGAAGTAGGAAGCACCATTGTCAATGACGATGGGAGTGGAGGAACTGAAGCGATTGTAATCGGATTGACGCTCAATTTTAGAGATGAAAGGCATTGTGGAAGTGAAGAAGAAGAAAAAAGAGCGAAGTTTGTTCTCTGTATCATGCGATTTGAGAAGTTGGAGATGGTGAACAAACTAAGTACCAAACATGGTGAGCCCCGACCCGATTGGGCGGGTCGTTGAAGTCAAGTTGTGTTGCTCTTTGCTGACAGTTACATTGGTTTGTAGGGAAAAACAATTTTAATTGATTTTTGTTCAATTAATTAGATTTAATTTAATTGAACTAATATTTAATCCTATCTAAACATGATTTATTAATGAGATTAATTGAACTAATATTTTAGATCAACAGTGTATTTTTTCGTATATAATTTTTTTTGTTTTTAATATTATTTATAAAAAAAATTTAAATAAATATTAAATTTGTTACTATTTGTAAAAACATTTAGATATGTTAGAAAAATAATTATAAAATAAATAGATCGAGACTAGAATCGTGAACGGATCAATTTTTTTATACTATTTCAAGCACTCTCAAGTGGTCTTAGAGTTTGTATACAGAAATATACAAGATAATTCAGCTTATACTCGAGTTTGCACAAGACCGATGAAAACTCGAATGTAAGGAGATGAAATCTGAAATTTTGTATGAAGAGGATATGTTTTTTTGAATTCAGAATGCTCAATTTATAGGTCAAATTAGTGTTACTTCATAAGATTGCGACCCTCGATGAAACACACACTTTCAACAACATTTTTGCTAAATGTTGCATTATTTCGCCTACAACAGCATTTTTCAAACGTTGCACTATTTCGCCTACAACACCATTTTTACAAAATATTGCATTGTTTTGCCTTCAGTAACAGTTTTTAAAGGTTGTATTGTTTCGCATTCTATAGTAGTTCACGAAATGTTGCTTATTTCTGAATTCAAAATACAAACTGCCTACTGAATTAAAAAAAGTTAATTTTCACTTCCATATTTTCTTGTCATTTTGGATTACACTCAAGATTATTAATTGTTAATAATTTACAAAAATCTCTACTTGTTCAAATAATGACAAGACCAATTTCAGAAAAAGAAAAACAAAGAATGTTAGTAGAGTTAAGTATCTTTCGATTTGAACTTAATCTTAGTAAGAATAACGCAAAGTCTAATCAAAATGTTAGATAACAATGCTTTGAAATGTTGTCCCTTGTGATTGAGCTGGTGTTACCTTACACATAGGGATGCTCAAATAAACCGGTTATTTAAATTATCCATATTCATATCCGGTTATTAAAAATCAATTAATTATTAGTATGGTTTTAATCAAATCCATATTTTGGATATGTTATTAATACGATTTTAACCAAATCCATAATTTGGACATCCATATCCAAAATAAAAATCAAATTAATCAATTTTATTATAAAATAAATAAATATTTTTTATGAAAAAAAATTGTTTTAAAAATTATTTTTTTCAGTAAATAGAAAAATACTGAAAATTAAAAAAAAAAGTTCTTTGTAAATAAAAAAATTTATTTTTGAACATAAATATTTTTTCTTAAAATAAAAAATTCTTTAAAAAATTTGTTTTAAAACAAAATTAAATAAAAATTAATTATAAAATTGATTATGGATATAACCGGTTAATAACTGGTTTATAACCGTTTTACAAAAATGAAAACCGGTTATTACAATTGGTCTTAATAACTGGTTATAACATATGAATTATTTATAGTTATGGATTGGTTATGAAAATTAACCGTCCATGAGCATCCCTACTTACACACACTCTTTAGTGGTTCTTCCCCTATATTTCTCGCCTAGCACTATTTATGGTCATGTGCTTTTTCCATTTTCGTGAATTTTTCATGAGAGAAACTTCGTCTCTCACTTTGAGACAAAACCATCTCGAAATTCATATAGGTGAAATTCATTTTGTATCTACTTCTTAAGATAAATATCCTTGATATAAAACTTTATTAAGAGTTTGAAAAACTCCAACCCTCGATATGTAATAGTCAATATTATTATAGAATATTGCACAAACATCCAAATCAAGGACTTGTTGTTACCCATTGAATCTTAGGTCAAGGTTTGTCCATTTTTCGTCCATGAGCATCCCTACTTACACACACTCTTTAGTAGTTCTTCCCCTATATTTCTCGCCTAGCACTATTTATGGTCATGTGCTTTTTCCATTTTCGTGAATTTTTCATGAGAGAAACTTCGTCTCTCACTTTGAGACAAAACCATCTCGAAATTCATATAGGTGAAATTCATTTTGTATCTACTTCTTAAGATAAATATCCTTGATATAAAACTTTATTAAGAGTTTGAAAAACTCCAACCCTCGATATGTAATAGTCAATATTATTATAGAATATTGCACAAACATCCAAATCAAGGACTTGTTGTTACCCATTGAATCTTAGGTCAACGTTTGTTAACTTCAAATTGGGTTGTTACCGTTGTGGGAACCTTTATTCAAGGAGTTTAAATCTCATACTTCTCGAGGTAGTCTTTACAAAATCTATGGCCAATGGTTTAGTAAATGGATCAAGCAAATTATAGCTCGATCGTATATATGTGAATGAAATGATTACATCCCTAATTAATTTTTTCACGAAAGAATGTCTAGGTCCTACTTGCCTAAACTTTCTGTTATATATTTTTTATATGCTCTAGGTAAAGTGGCTTGACTACCGCAATGTATCAACATCTTTGAAACATTGTCTTTAGCCAATTGAACTTCCAACAGAAGGCCCTTCAACCATTCAATCGATGTGGTGAATATTTAAGCCTAAAATTTGATGACAATCTAAAAAAGTGTGGGATTATATCCTGACTTACGCCTCCTGAAACACCACAACTAAATCGTTATTTAAGATTAAAAAACAAACATTATTAAACGTGATCCATTCCATGACGAGTCACGTTGATATTCCAAACTCCTTTTGAGGACATGCTCTAATGAGAGCAGCTTACACATTTAACCATGCTCCATCCAAAATAATTGAGAAGACGATATATGAGATATAGAGTGGTAAAAGATCACATATGCCTTATATAAAGATTTGGGGGTTATCAAGTTTATGTGGAAAGACATATTTCAACTAAGTTTGAGCCTAAATATGATAAATTCTTCTTTGTAGAGGTATCCTAAAGAAACAAAAGGGTATTATTGCTACAATCCTTCTGGAGGAAAAGTGTTTATCTGACGAACTAATCTATGAAAAGGACTTCATTTCCAAAAGAATCAATGGGAGGAAATTAGAGCTTGAAGAAATTCAAGAATTATAAAATAGTTACACACTTATGGAGGAATTAGAGAAGCAAACACAAGAAGTTGTGGAAAAGCAACCTACTTGCTCAGGTAGAACAAGTTTGACATACGTTAAACAAGACATGTCACCAACCTGAAAGGTATGGATATATCATAATTGATCAAGGTGATGTATTGTTTATGGATCAAGATTAGCTCGTGATCTACCAAGACACCGTCACTGGTTGTGAGTCTGAGAAGTGGCTAAAGGCCATGAAATCTGAAATGAATTCTATGTACACAAACCAGGTATGGACCTTGGTAAAGTCTCATGTAAGAGTTAATAATGTAGGATGTAAGTGAGTCTTTGAAAATAAGTTTGACATGGATGGTAAGGTACATACCTATAAGGCACAAGTTGTTGATAAGGGCTATAAGCAAATTCATGGTGATGGTTATGATGAAACTTTTTCACTAGTTGCAATGCTTAAATCTATTTGGATTTTACTTGCTATTGTTGCATATCATGATTATGAAATGTGGCAGGTGGGTGTCAAGATTTCTTTCCTTATTAGGAATCTCCTTGAGAATGTGTACAAGATACAACCCAATATGGTTTGACATACCAGAAGAAGTAAAAAGGATGTGCAAGTTGTTGTGATCAATCTATCAATTGAAGCAATCTTCTAGGAGCTAGAATCTTCACTTTGATGAAATTGTAAAACAATATGAATTCATTAAAAATGAAGATGAGCCTCGTGTCTACAATATTTTTAGTGGTATCATGATCATCTTTTTGATATGATATGCAAATGACATATTTCTCGTTAACAATGTCCTTACCTTGCAACAAGTGAAAACTTGACTAGGGAAATGCTTTTCTATAAAAGACTTGGGTGAAAAAAACCTATATATTAGGAATCAGGATCTATAGAGATAGATCACAATAATTATTTGGCCTAAGTAAGAGCGCATGTATAGAAAATTTGCTAAGACACTTTAATATGCATGATTTCAAGAAAGGATTAATACCAATAAACTATAACTTGTGTCTATAAAAATACAACCCCCTTAATTTACGGAAGAAATATATAACATTAATAAGATCTCATAAACACCTGCAGTAGGATTTATCACGTATGTCACATTATATACTCGACCATATGTATCGTATGCTTTAAGTGCAACGAGTAGGTACTCGTCTGATCCTGATGATGCTCATTGGGTTGTTGTCCATAATATCCTTAATTACTTAAGAAGGACTAAGGACTCATTATTTATATATCGAGGCCAGGAAAAGCCCGTTATAATAGGATACACCGACGCTAGCTTTTAAATCGATAAATAGGACTTTATATCGCAATCTAGTTATGTTTTTTTGCTTAAATGGTGATGTTATAAGATGTAAGAGTTCAAAGCATCATACAATTGAGGATTTTACAACTGAGGTCGAGTACATTGTTACATTAAATGCATTAAAGGAAGTTATTTGGATCAATAAGTTCATTAGTGAACTTGGCAAAGTCCATAGTGTTGGAAAATTGACTCTAAACACAATAGGGAGGGGGAGGAGTTGTGATGTGTTGAAAAATAATGTCCAATTAAAAATTATTTATAAAATAATTTATTTAAAATAATTTTGAAAACAGTGAGCAACACAATAAACAAAAGGAATAAAATCAAAGTTAAAAACAAATTTAAGCACAATGGAAATATGCAAACAATGGAAACGTAAAGAGATAAGGGATAAGAAGAATGCATAAGAAATTTATAGAGCTTCGTCCTAACTATTTCCCCAACG